ACACGCGTATAACCCTATTTGGGACTTATCAACAGTATATACCTGTACCCCAGTGTTAATTTTTACACTGAGACTCGAACCCAGTCCCTTTTGCATCAAATACCCAACAGGTTATCCCTTGAGTTACTCAGCTCAATCAAGAGCGCAGATGAACTATATTTAATTTGTAAGGGTTTGAATCTTCCCATAGTCAATTTTATAGACTATAGTCGATCAACCATTTCTGAAATATGTTCATCCTGAATGGACTGCCTAGATATTCCTATTAAGTCACAAACATCTTTAAAGAAAACTTAGTAGCACAATTCATCCTCATTGTACAAACCAGTGGCTATTTGAACTCAGTAGCTCACTGAATAACCCGTAGGGTATTTGATGCAAAAGGGATTGGGTTCGAGTCCTAGTGTGAACATCAACACTGTGCTACAGGTACATCCAGCTAGTGAGTCCCACATAGGGATAGATGAGTGTTGGACTCCGTTGTTAACTGCTATAAAACGTTACCTAAAAATGCTTGACTTAATAGCAATTTCCAGGCAATCCATTCAAGATACATATATACCAAAGGACACCGATCTATCCAGAGATTGTAAAATACTATACAAAGCATTTCTCTAGAGAAAAACGTTTGCTATACATTCCCAGGTACCCACTAACTCTCAAAATTACTCTATTAATTTTTAGAATTTAAATCTTCAGCTTTGTTTTTTCTTCTGTAGTTTATACACGCAAATTTCTATACGTTGATTAATTCGTTCACTTCTCTCACATATTTATTTGTAAAAATACTATTCTGCATAAAACATTGTTAACAAAATTTCAATTAGAGGCTAGTTGGTGAGTAGTTCGAGTTTGATATTTCAAAATTATTATTTTATTAAATAATTCGATAATACTCCTGAATATTAAATTAATTTCTTAAACATACTGTAATGTTATTCATTCTTCTTGGATAATTCAGCATAGTTTCTTGGAATTGGACTTCCGTTATATATTTGCTTAGATAACAGTTTAACTAAGTGCATTTCCACTAGATATAATTAGTTATTGTTAAAAACTAAGGTATTACATTAATGAATGATGAATTCGAAAAATGAGAAATAATGATCTGATACACATTAAGACCGTTTATTCTACTCAAACATCACAAAAGACTACCACGGACATCGCATATAGGATCATTCGCAATATTATACATGACTGACAAAGTAATCATGCTGTTTATATCAACAAATCCCTCTTAATCTCACTTCGACTATTATCACAGATGCATCGCTAACATAATCAGAACAAAAATATCCGTAATGCTTAAAGTGTATTCAGGCTATTGATAGTTCAAACGACCAAACACAGGACAATTATACAGCGAAATACACTAAAATTCCAATAGAAAAAATTACTATAGTTCATTTAACTACCACATCCAGACTAGTTAATCATTCATACAATGGACGTATATACAAAAGTTCAAAGTTAATCATTTGAATAAATGTAAAAAAAGTAACACATGAAACTAGAGTTAAGTATTAAGTTTTCATATCTTATAAAGTAAAATCATGTTAAGACTCACACGTTGTCAAGTCCTCATAACATAATGAATAGAAACAAACTTTATAACTAAGAGATTAAATTAACACGCTAAAATGGTTATCTATAATTAAGTCAAATTTTTTTTAAATTTTAACCGTATTTGACACAGCGTTTTCACTAATGACATCCAGAAGTGATTCTGCACATCAACAGTACAACTACAGGATTGAAATTGTAAGCTACGGCGGGACAAGGATGATCACTAATGCCCTGGCCCAAATGAAGGATCGCCACCGCACTAGGGCGTGTTGAAGCCTGCGACGATCCCTAATCGAGCTCGCTCGGACGCGTAGTTTTTGTCAGTGGGGAAGTATTCGGATCATCCCTTTGAATAACAACACAGGCCCCCGAATGCCCTGGTACGGCCGAGTGGAGAGGGCCCGCCCTCCTCTCGAACAGCCACGCGAATACAGCCTCTGCCAGGGAAGTCCTACTCATTGCACTATTGTTGTTTTCCAAATTAAGAGGATGAAAATCGAATGTCCTGCACGTTAACCAGGCCCGTGGACACGGAGAGTCCACCTAGAGGATTTGAGAAACCCTGATTTCAAACCAATAGTGCACATGGGCTCAAGGATCCCGAGAGAACAAATGGCGTATGAACCAATAGTTGGTCACCGGCTATCATGGGACTGCATCTCCTCACGATGCTCCATTACCTTATGGATCAGACCTTTGTGTCAAAGGCTCGGGGTGCGGCTCCCTAAGAAAACCACCGGCGTCGGTCTAGGCACCCAGGCACCATTATAGCACTCACACAATTAAAATGAAATGACAACGATTACTTAATAAACTGCTCTCATTCCTATTGCAATCCAAACAACCTATACCCATTTGATAATATTCACTTATATTTTTAGTTTTTATGTACTACGTCACTTATCTACCCTCTTGCATTCTTACTTTTAAACTTATATAACAGCTCGTATATAGTAGAAATTCTGTTCTATCTAAACGACCTCGAGTCACTTCCTGGTTGAAAATTGTATGCTACCACCAAATACGAATACTCAAACAGTTTTTCGGAAACCACATGCACCATTCAAACTGGCTGCCTTTAACGTTCGCACACTTATGTAGATCGGACAACAGATAGGGCTGGCAATGTCTTTGGAAAGTCTTAATATCGACATCTGTTGTCTATCCTAGACCCGTCTTCAAGACTCTGGTGAAGTACTACAAATTCGCTCTCCATCTGTCACTTCAAAAAGCTTGTTTTACATGCGCTTATCCGGGGACACTGTGGCATCTTCGTTTGGTCTTGTTGGAGTTGGTGTCGCACTAAGCCCTAGAGCTGAGGCAGCACTAATCGATTCGATCCCCATTAACAGTCGGTTATGTGCTGTTAGATTAGAAAGTTCCATTAAAGTGAGAAGAAATCGGCGTGAGAAACGATGACTCTTCATCATCTCCGCCTATGCCCCGACACATTGCAGCCCAGATGCAATCAAGGATGAATTCTAACACCAGTTATCTGTTCTTCTCCAGAAAGTGCGTTCGACAGAAATTGTAGTACTAGCCGGAGACTTGAATACTCAGGTCGGGCGTCTAGGCACAGAAGAGAATCGTTTAGGTGGCCGATAGGGACTCGTTGGTCACAGGTGAGATAACGGGGATCGTCTACTGCAACTATGTACAGACCACAACCTGTTTCTGGCTAGCACTAACTTTCGGCACAGTCATCGCCGATGTGCCACCTGGCGTCCTTCCTCTGCGTCTCAAGCCTGGACTCAGATTGATCACATCGCGCAAGTCCGCAAGGAACTCCAACTCTTGAAGCGTTGCAAATCACCTGGCCCAAATGACTTACCTCCTGTCCCCTTAAAGTTAGCGGTGACTTTTTGGCTAAGGAACTGACGACGTTGTTTACAAAGGTTTGGGGACTAAAGAGTGTACCAACGTCATGGAATGAGTCGTTAGTTGTCCTTATCTTTAAAAAGGGTTCACGTCGTTCCTGTAACAACTATCGGGGGATAAGTCTACTTCCGATTGCGTCCAAGCTATTGGCTTCTTTCATACTTGGTAGGTTTTCAAAACCCGAGAAAGATTGACTAGCGAAGATGTAAATAATGGTGGTGTGGATCTGTTGCCTGGAGAAAGACTTCTCGACCTTGAGTATGCGGATGATATTCTCTTACTGTGCGATAATGCCCAAGCCATGCAATCCGCACTCAATCAGTTGGCAGTGTCCGTAGGTATGGTATGTGCTTCGCACCTTCGAAGTGCAAAGTACTTCTACAAGACTGGCAGGATTCCAATCCTGTACTCACCCTGGATGGTGACCAGATAGAAGTAGTCGAGAAGTTCGTGTATCTGGGTAGCTGCATAAGTGCTGGTGGTAGCGTGAGTGATGAGATCAGTGCAAGCATAGTGAAAGCCAGAGCGGCTTATACCAATCTGGACCATCCTTGGCGCCCTCGTGATGTTAGTCTGGCTGTAAAAGATCGCATCTACAACGCGTCGGTGAGAGCAGTTTTGCTCCATGCTTGTGAAACCTGGCCTCTCCGAGTTGAGGATGTTAGACGAATCTCTGTGTTCGATCATCGCTGTCTCCGAAAGAGTGTTGACATCCAGTGGCAACACCATGTCAGTAATGCAGAGGTTCGGCATCGTGTGTTCGGGCACAGAGACGATAATGCAATTGGTGTCACCATCTTGAAACACCGACTTCGGTGGCTTGGACATGTTCTACGAATGTCGTCCCAGAGAATTCCACGTCGTGCATTATTTGCCGACTCTGAGACTGGTTGGAAGGAGCGGAGAGGTGGTCAGTATATGACATGGTGTCGTGGCATGAAAGAAATTTGCAAAGGACTGGTTGTGTTGGTCCTTCAAGACCCCCTGGTTGGGGTCCGAGAGATGGTGCTACACAGTGGCTAGAGACGTTATCAGATATGGCTCAGAATAGAAACCAGTGGCGATCCTGCTCTAACCTTCGTTTACTTTCTCCACAAAACGTTGTTGCAACTTCCTTAATTGAAAGAATTCTTTCTGGTTGTACCTTTCCGTTCCCCCCATTATTATTATTATTATTATTATTATTACACTACCATACACTAATCTGCGGTCGTTATTGTTCTCTGCTTTTTCTTCTCTCTTATACGCACTTCATATTCGTTTTGTCTTCCCATTCTCAATGTTATTTTGTGGCGCACATATATTTGGTGCCCCCTTGTACCAATATTTATGTGTTCAAATAAATAAATACGCCAAAAATGAATAATGACAGTGTAATATAGTAACCTGTTGATGTTGACAAAATAATAATTCTCATCTTAGTTTTTCTCACTTGTCAATATTATCATAACTTCTTCAACTTGACAATCACATGTAATTCATACCTTAGTTTACAGGTTAGGAAAGAATAAAAAACTATATATATATATATATATATATATATATATATATATATACTCTGCTATGTTTATTTATCTTAATGACATTTCTTGAGGAATGAAAACTTTCCTGAAATGTATCACATCTATTCTTACTCGAATGTAAGTTGTTATCGTTAAAAACTTTCATTGAATGTATTCACGATCTGACATACCTATTTAGTCGTATTACATCCGCTTTCATATTAAAAGTATCTCTCGTTGTATTCTTACTTTAAACTCAAACTCATACAAATCATAATACAAAACAAGTTAGAATTAAACGTAAATTAGAGGAAAAATGTTCAAAGTTTTGATATAAGAAATAAAATTTGACATTGAACAAATGAACAAATTGATACATAATGCATAAAGTGGATGAAATATTAAAGAGAGAAAACGAAAAACAAACAACTCAACGGTATTTATCTCACTTTTCACGCGACTGAACTTAAAAATCTGACTCCTAAGAAATTAAGTTTAAAAAAAGAGAAACTTCAGTAAAAATTACACACACAAGAAGAATAAAGGAAAACAGATTTTACATATACATGCTACAGTTTTTATACATTTGAAAACAAGAAAACACAATAGGGAAGATTATGTATACAAAGTATGATAGAAGATTGGATTGAATGGGGACACAATAACAAATTATATCATAAACAAGATAGAAACTGATCGAGAAAAAGTTCAATAGATTATAATAATGTTATATACTTTTAAAATATTTATATGTGGAAAATATATGAATCACTAAAAATGCTGCTTGAAGGTAAATATTGTTTCTCATATGATTGACAGAATATGTGGCTCGTCGATTCATAACTTTTTAATTAGTAATTAACAATTTCGTTCATGATACCTATTCTGCAAAATAAAAACATTTTGCCATTAAATATAAATATATCCATAGTCTAATCATTAAAAAGATCTTGTTTCAACATGATATCGCTTTCCTATAATGCTCAAACTGACAACAACAAACTCCCGTGCAAATGAACATTCTCATAATAACCTCATTACTTGGAAATCTTTTTAAATACAATCGACATTGACGTAATAAGCTTTTTATGAGTATACGTATAAAAGTGAATAGTAAAATTTGACAAATGAATTAGTTGTGTGTCTCACAGTTATCAACCATAGATGAACATTTCAAAAATGTCAAATGTGACAAAGATTGATGGCTGAAGCTTAGGTCAAATTATTAACAAGTGTTGGATTTTTAAATACATGGTGATAAGTCTAATGTTTCTACATGCATTTCAGACATTTCGAGAACTAATGACCAAAATTAATACATAGAGAGGGAATAGAATTCCGGATGTTCACCGTAAGATGATACCCCTGAACACTAATAGATAGAGCACAGTGATAGAATTGACTTAAATGAAGCCATTAATAATAATAAGTGTGGTTACTTGTCATGTGTTTTAGTCAGTGAGTTAACGTTCGTTAACTTTCAATCAATCCTATATCTTTTTCTACATCCTAGTGTTTTCATTGTTTTTTTTTACAGATACTACTAATGGCAAATGATAAAACAACAAAATTTCTTTTGAAATGAATACTTTAACATAAACTTCAGAATACTGAAGGGGTAAAACATATTGAACAACAACGTATTTGATGCGTATCAAATCTCAAAAACTTACTAAGTGAGCAACACATGCACTCAATGGTATCCATACGATAAGTGATAAGAAGACTGCGAAAAATACCAGATTGTCCCAAGCAATGGTGCCTATTGTTTTATTATAAAAAACAAACAATTAACGATGAAATGAATATATTTTTAAGACAAGAGTTTATTTATAGAAAAGGAACAGGAAAGCAAATTCAGTAGAGTATGGAATTTTTAAATAATATCTGTTTTTATATTTTTTTGGAAACAGTGATAATCAGAACAGTTGGTGATTTAATGTTTAAGAAATAAGCTATGATATGATACATATGGATTTCATAGTTTGGAAAGTGTAGTACATTATAAAGTTCAAAAACATGAACTCAATCTTTAAAGATATAATGACTGTTTATTGAAAATGATTAAACAACGGACGTTCTACCAATGTAAAATGTATAATTAGAAGTAACTTAAATGTTTATGACATGAAATTCATTTATTTGATAACTGAAAATAAAATAACATCCGCGTATTTCTCTATTTATCTAATTAAATTATGACTCATTGATTTACCATACATCTAACTTGCAGTTAGTGAGGTACAAATTTGAAACTTGATGTACCTAATGAGCTATAAACAAGTATGTATTACCATTAACCCCCAGTATTTTATAATTGACATCACAGTATGTATATACATGATTGCTGGGCGATGGTTCAGGCATTCAATCTTCAGTCGCTAAGTCGCAGGCCCGAATATCCCAATACACCAGGTTCCGGATATTATCACTAGTTTTCACAATAAGAGGATGGCTTGAAGTCAACTACCCGAATATGCCCCTGTTAATAAGTCGGTAATAGTAACAAGATTCTTTATCTCACAACCCAATAATCTTTGAATCACAGGATTAATTTTATAATATGAAGAGGTTGTTAGGAGATTCATTAATGCTTTTAATAATTATATGTATATGTATAATAATTGATAACTGTGTATTTGTATAGAGAGAATGGTTAAGCTTATGTGTGCAAGATTTCAATTCCTGGGTTTGTTTCCCGCCCACAAAATCGTGGATGGGCACTGCTGAGAAGTCTCACACCAGGACGAAACAGGTTTACAGTGCTCCAAAGATTTAAATGGTTGTCCAACTTTGATCGGTTCATAATTTCAATGAAATATATATAACACTGTCAAATACACAAAGACTTTCAAATATCGATGAGTTAATTCATTAAAGATAATAAATATTTAAATGAATATACACATACACAAATTAAAAAATTCTCTTCTCAATAATAAGAATTATATTCAGTGATGAGAACAAGACGAACTTCAATAAAAAATCGCTGAATATACATGTTAATAAAAAATGATACCTACCGAGATTCTTGTGTTTAGAATAATGAACTGGTGTCCAAAATCGTAATATCCGCTTACTTTTCGATTCTATACATTTTCCCGCCATACAATAACCATTAAGACATGGCCGATAATCTTGCAAATGAATATGTACTAAAGGTTGTTTATGATAGTATGAATTAATATCGTTAAAATCAGTTGTAGCTAGTTTTTGAGTTTTATTATCAACAGCGAAATGATATGTATCATTTGGTGAGTGTTTATCATACAACCGTAATATGGTAGACGAGGATAGTAAAAACTTATGCATAGAATACAGAGTTGATCGTCTTGAATGATAAATCATTGAATAGGATTTATAAGATTCTGAATGTTCTACAGTATTCTGTTTAGAATGTAATAGATATTCATTTTGGGACAATGTAACAGGAAGGCATACGGTGCTTTGATTTGTGGTTGAATTTGATGTTGGAAATAAACAGCAAATAAAGCAGGATTCTTCAACTATTTACAAGGAAAGAATGGAAAGAAACATTGACACTTTTATATTTGAAAATTTATTCTACTGAATTATAAACGTAAGTAGTCAGTACAATCTAAATTCATTATTTATTACGTTGTTTAAATTTATATTGATCTATTTATGTATATTAATCAGTACATTATTGTCGAGTTCCATAGTGATGCAATTAGTGTATATAAAAATCAGTCGTCTAATTTTGAATAAGGATCGGACTTTGTAATGGATTAATGAATTTTTCTACTGGACATGAATCTTCTCAGATCTATACTCTATATAATAGTAAAAAATTCGTTATATCTAGTGGAGTCCTGAAATTTCACTTCAAGATCATGAAACTTTTATGAAAATACAATCAGCAAAGAGACTGAACTATGGTACAAAGTGATTACGTAAGCTAGGGCCATATACTTGCTCTTGTGAGACAGGTTACAATGGCCTCACAAAGCGAACACTAAAGAAACGAATCTCTGACCATTACCCTGGCCGACTCAAAACGATTAACCAGGTCGATCAATAGACTAACTCTGGAAAATCTCGTACAGCTCTAATCACGTTCTCTTACCAGAATCTACATTCATCCACATGGTCAAACGAATTGATTAGAAATTAGAAACCTATGCACTATAGAGGCTTCTGTAACTTGTTGATTGAATTTCACAATGATATCTCATCTATCAACCTTATCTTACTATACTTTACTTATCTTTAGGTCACTACCTAAACTACTTTTAATATTCAATAAATCCGAATGCTTTACAACACAATTTTACACTACTTCTTAATAGACAACTATAAACGTCAGGCAACTTTAGACACGGTTGTATAGCTTCACTGCTGAACAGTTCTTATTTTTTATCAATGATCCAAGCGATTTCTTTATAATAAGTGCATCCAACCTACCTGAATCACAGATACAAGTTTCCAGTCCCAGACTAGAACAAAACGGATGACATTTACCCTGAAAACATCGCCCATATTCATCACATTGACCACCGGATAAAAGTGTTGGACCTGGACAAATAGATGATAAACCATTACACTGACCAGGTCCTAAACAAGGATTAGTACTGCTAGTTTGTGCGCAAATGGTATTCTTTGGTGCTAACTGACAATCTGTATAAAGAAATGTAGTAGAAATATTAAATAACGGATCGATTTACGAGGAGCAGTTTACAAATACTCAAGAAAAGAAAAAACACCGTGTTCTCCAAGTTTAAGTAGATGAAAGAACTATACGAATACCACAGCCCAATGACTGAACGTCAAGTGTGACTTAACAACTAAGCTAATAAACAGATAGATTTGAATCTCTTATGAAATACTAGACTTTATGACTGTCAATGAGTATCGATAAACGCAATACTCATCACTTATTAATTACCCTAATACAATCTAATACTTTAAACCTACATGCGATTAATGAACTTCAGTTTATCTGTTACAGGAATGATATTACAAGTAGAATCATTGTGAACAACAATAATTAATCTGAATTCAACGTAACAAATAGGCTTTCGAAACAAAAACTAACCAGAAGTACAACAACCATGATTCCAAGGTGAACAGTGAGCACCTGTTCTAAAATAACACTCAGAACTACAACAAGGATCATGTGGATTGCGACCAGCATCACATTCTTCACCCTCATCAATACGACTGTTACCACAAAGATTTGAAAGAGCCGCAGATGAATCTTCAAAACATAATGGAGCACGAGTAACCAAACAAGCGCCAATTGTCCGTAAACTACATGGTGAAAATTTCTAAAGAAATAAGTATGAGATCGATAGTGATATTCATAAACCGTCATCAAGTAAGTCTAAAATACCTTGATAAGGAAACATTTGACAAGTGCATTACTAGTCTCTTCCATTATTAATTGGTTAATTATTTATTTAAACACATAAACATTGTTACAGAGAAGCACCAAATATATGTGTCGCACACATTAGTTATCATTTAATTTGCGTGTGGGATGAGACATTACCCGGGCACCCAAAACAAAGCGAGTGGTTTCCTCAAAGTGTCACAAGCCTTTGACATAAAGGTCTAATCTACAAGGCAGTAGAGAAACATTAGATGTAGTCCCATGATAGCCAATGGTCAAGGTTAGGTTCATATACCATTTTTTCCTCAGGATCCTGTAATCCATGTACCCCATTAGTTTGGATTCAGGGCTTTCAAACTCTTCTAGATGGGTCTTCCTTATCCACCAACCCGGTTTGAGCGCCGGACATTCGCTTTTCTTCCTTTCAATTTTGTAAACAACATTCCTCTGCGGTGCCTAGAATCTTATATAAAGACACATCCACTTGGAAATATGAGTATATGATTACTATTGACATTCAGATGCGATTAATTACTTGTGCTCATTATTACAAACAATATAAAACAATTAGAAATCAATTCTGTATTAGGTGGAAAAAAGCATAATTGGTAAATTACGTATTACATATTCACGCCTGGAAAAAATTGAACCATGATATCTATCAAGGAAAACTATTAACAAAGAGAATAACACGTGACTTTTTCTCGATTGATGTTGAGAAATGGTACTCTATCATGAGGAATCTACTTCATCGTTAATCTTCAGATTGTCAGTGTAATAATTTTTTTAGAAAATACTTTTTTGGCATTTTATATCCGAAAATTTCACATCTGAAAGAGGCAGATTTAATATGTTGGAAAAGACCAATTAATATGACTATGTAAGCTTTCCTTTATATCATGCAATTATCCAAAGAAAATATCTTTCATATAAGAGATTTCGGGAAATAACAGTTTTAAATTATGGTTACTACCTACTGATTGAATATGATGAGATGATACATGAATAAATTAAAAACTAATGCAACTAACTCCATTATTTTCAGCGTAACCTGAAACTGAATAGGTATACATTAAATATTTTCCAGAACTTATAGCTGCAGGATTGCATTCATCTGTGTCAGGATCATGATCTGCGCCCCAACTATGTCCTAATTCATGAGCCGTGATTAATTCAGCCAAAGCGTTCACTAGTTGTTGACCATTACAATCTACATAAGTAGTCCATCCTGTATTTAAATAGAGATCCTTTTTATTATTTCGACGAACTAATTTGGCAAAAAAAGAAATATAAACATTTTTGAATGGTAGAAATATGTATAATTTAGTAACCACGTATAATTCTGTGTACTTTATTGTAACGACTATTGACAGTACTTGGCAACATGAAAAACTGTTGACTGTGACTAAAAATCAAATAACTTGGCTCATTAAACAGAAGTGTCATTAACACTATAATACAATGTGATGTAGCCTTTTCAATAATACTGCGATGTCCGCTATTTATGGGGACAGATATAGGTAGTACGTAGCAGCAACTCGAAATGGGATGTCCACTAGCAGAAGTTTGAAAGAGGAACGAAGATGGAGAGCGATCGGAATAACAACTGAATTGGAAGAATGATGGATTATGTAAAGGAAAACTAAATAAAGATACGCAAATGATGTGCCGATTGCATGATTTTGATATTTTGTAAAGTCAGTCAGCTACAACGTAAGACCAGGCACATATATGCATCCGTCCAAGTTGCCATACCGCATTAGCACAGCAAGATGAACACTGGATTCATAGAAGTAGTTAATTCAGAGGTGGCAATATATAAAAGAAAGATTGCAATACGGATATAGTACAGGAAGAAAGAATTAGTTCGTAGAAAGAAACATATGAAGCGATTTTAATCTCTTAGTTTAAGGAAAGATAGAGAATGTATACACCGACGCCATTGTGATCGATTCTGAGCCATGTCACCAAGAGTCTCCAACCATTGGTTACGATAGTCGCGTGGACCCTAACCAAACAGTCTTTGGAAAGTCTTCATATCGATGTCTGCCGTATATCCGAGACCCGTATTCAAAACTCTGGTGAAGTACTACAAATTCGCTCTCCATCTGTCACTTCAAAAAGCTTGTTTTACATGCGCTTATCCGGGGACACTGTGGCATCTTCGTTTGGTCTTGTTGGAGTTGGTGTCGCACTAAGCCCTAGAGCTGAGGCAGCACTAATCGATTCGATCCCCATTAACAGTCGGTTATGTGCTGTTAGATTAGAAAGTTCCATTAAAGTGAGAAGAAATCGGCGTGAGAAACGATGACTCTTCATCATCTCCGCCTATGCCCCGACACATTGCAGCCCAGATGCAATCAAGGATGAATTCTAACACCAGTTATCTGTTCTTCTCCAGAAAGTGCGTTCGACAGAAATTGTAGTACTAGCCGGAGACTTGAATACTCAGGTCGGGCGTCTAGGCACAGAAGAGAATCGTTTAGGTGGCCGATAGGGACTCGTTGGTCACAGGTGAGATAACGGGGATCGTCTACTGCAACTATGTACAGACCACAACCTGTTTCTGGCTAGCACTAACTTTCGGCACAGTCATCGCCGATGTGCCACCTGGCGTCCTTCCTCTGCATCTCAAGCCTGGACTCAGATTGATCACATCGCGATCAGCTACCGCTGGCGTGGTTGTGTACAAGACTGCCGCTCCTTTTGGAGTACCTATCTGGACTCTGATCATGCCCTGGTCTGCGCCAATCTTACTTTACTTTTCAGTGGCCAACGAAGTCACCGCCACCAACGGATTGATGTTAGCAAGCTGGTTGCAACTTCTGTTGCTAGTAAGTATCGAACCGAGCTAGTTTCTAGACTAGCTACCATTCCACCGAAAAGTATAGATGAGCATTGGTTGCAATTGCATGACGCCATCAAAATGGCGGGTACAGTCAGTTGTGGGTTCACGAAACGTCCCGCTTATAAGCACTGGGTTTCTTCAGGTTCCTTACAACTCATTGAAACCCGTCGGTCTACTCCGGGTGACCGTGAGTTTGATCATAAACGAAGGATGTTACGTGAGGAAATTGGGCAAAGCTTGCGTAAGGACCGAGAAGCCTGGTGGTCGAAGCGTGCTAATGAGCTGGAAGCAGCAGCTGCATCTGGTAACTACCGGAAGCTCTTCCAACTCATCCGAGCCACGAAAAGCAAGAAGTCTGGTGTGAGCGAAACAATCTGCGAAGATGATGGGATGCCAATCACTAACATCAATCGACGTCTTGGACGGTGGGTAGAATTCTTCGAAGGGCGGTTCAACTGGCCTGCTGCTCCGGCAATATCGGTCAGACTGTCCTGCCCTCCATGGCCGGTGACAACTGATCCACCAAACGAGGAGGAAGTCCGCAAAGAACTCCAACTCTTGAAGCGCTACAAATCACCTGGCCCAAATGACTTACCTCCGGCTCTTTTTAAAGATGGTGGTGACTAAGGAATTGACGACGTTGTTTACAAAGGTTTGGGAACTAAAGAGTGTACCAACGTCATGGAATGAGTCGATAGTTGTCCCTATCTTTAAAAAGGGTTCACGTCGTTCCTGCAACAACTATCGGGGGATAAGTCTACTTTCGATTGCGTCCAAGCTATTGGCTTCTTTCATACTTCGTAGGTTGTCCAAAACCCGAGAAAGATTGACTCACGAGGAACAGGCTGGGTTTCGTTCTGGTCGAGGATGTATCTTCACGCTTCGCCAAATGTTAGAACACCGCCATACTTATCAAAGGCCAACAATCGTAGTGTTTCTTGACATCAGGGTTGCCATTGATTCGTTGGATAGGACTGTTCTCTGGGATTGTCTATTGAAGAAGGGTGTGCCTGAGAAGTTTATTAACATCCTAAAAGCCCTATATCACTCCGCCTGGAGTCCCTCCGGGGGCTACTGCCGGTCCCAAGCCCGGATAAAGGAGGAGGGTTGGGCATGGGGTTAGCGTCCCCATCCCGTAGAAAACTAACTCGCTAAAAAAAACGCTAACCAGAAAAAACTATTCATTTATTTAGGTACATGGAATGTTCGTACAATGTGGGACACCGGAAGAGCCTTCCAGACTGCTGCAGAAATGAGAAGATACAACCTAGAGGTACTTGGGATCAGTGAAACACATTGGACACAAGTTGGACAACAACGACTAACTACAGGAGAGCTCCTGTTATACTCCGGCCATGAAGAAGAAAATGCACCACATACACAAGGAGTTGCATTGATGCTGTCCAAACAAGCACAAAACGCACTTATAGGATGGGAATCTCATGGACCAAGGATCATCAAATCCTCCTTCGAAACAAAGAAAGAGGGCATTTCAATGAACATCATCCAATGCTATGCGCCTACCAACGACTACAATGAAGACGCTAAAGATCAATTCTACAATAGGCTGCAGTCAATCGTCGAGAAGTGCCCAACAAAGGACTTGACCATTCTGATGGGAGATTTCAACGCCAAGGTTGGAACGGACAACACTGGATATGAAGACATCATGGGACGACACGGACTGGGAGAAAGAAACGAAAATGGTGAGAGATTTGCAAATCTATGTGCTTTCAACAAGCTGGTCATAGGCGGCACCATATTCCCACATAAACGCATACACAAAACCACATGGACTTCACCGGATCACTCTACACAAAACCAAATCGACCATATTTGCATCAACAAAACGTTCAGGAGGACTATAGAGGACGTGAGAACCAAGAGAGGAGCTGATATAGCATCAGATCATCACTTACTGGTCGCCAAGATGAAATTGAAACTCAAGAAGCACTGGACAATGGGGCAGACAATATCACAAAAGTTCAATACGGCCTTTCTTCAGGATACTAACAAACTCAACAAATTCAAGATAGTCCTCAGCAACAAGTTCCAGGCCTTTCATGATCTACTCAATGGAAAAGGAACTACTATGGAGAGCAACTGGAAGGGGATCAAAGAGGCAATCACTTCAACATGTCATGAGGTCCTGGGTCACAAGAAGCACCACCACAAGGAATGGATCACTGTTGATACACTGGATAAGATTCAAGAAAGAAGGAACAAGAAGGCAGCGATCAATACCAGCCGAACAAGAGCAGAAAAAGCCAAGGCACAAGCTGAATACACGGAAATAAACAAACACGTGAAGAGGAGCATCAGAACTGACAAACGTAAATATGTGGAAGATTTAGCAACGATGGCGGAAAAGGCTGCAAGAGAAGGAAACATGAGACAATTGTATGACACGACAAAGAAACTCTCTGGAAATCGCCGCAAACCAGAACGACCAGTGAAAAGCAAGGAAGGCAAGGTAATCACCAACATTGAAGAGCAACAAAACAGGTGGGTAGAACACTTCAAAGAACTGTTCAATCGACCAGCTCCACTGAACCCACCCAACATCGAAGCAGCACACACGGACCTCCCAATCAATGTTGGCCCACCAACAATTGAAGAAATCAGCATGGCCATCAGACAAATCAAGAGTGGCAAAGCAGCAGGACCAGACAACATCCCAGCAGAGGCACTAAAAGCAGACGTAGCGGCAAATGCAAGGATATTCCACATTCTCTTCAATAAGATTTGGGATGAGGAACAAGTACCAAAAGACTGGAAAGAAGGACTTCTGATCAAAATACCGAAGAAAGGCGATCTCAGCAAGTTTGATAACTACAGGGGCATCACTCTTCTCTCAATACCGGGAAAAGTCTTCAACAGAGTATTGTTAAACAGGATGAAGGACTGCGTAGACGCCCAACTTCGTGACCAACAGGCAGGATTCCGTAAGGATAGATCGTGTACAGACCAAATCGCAACTCTACGGATCATTGTGGAACAATCAACTGAATGGAATTCATCACTCTACATCAACTTCATTGACTACGAAAAGGCATTTGATAGCGTGGACAGAACAACACTATGGAAACTTCTTCGACACTACGGCGTGCCTCAGAAGATAGTCAATATCATACAGAACTCATATGATGGATTACACTGCAAAATCGTGCATGGAGGACAGTTGGCAAAGTCGTTCAAAGTGAAGACCGGTGTTAGGCAAGGTTGCTTACTCTCACCCTTTCTCTTTCTCCTGGTGATCGACTGGATCATGAAGACGTCAACGTCTGAAGGGAAGCGCGGGATACAATGGACATCTAAGATGCAGTTGGATGATCTAGACTTCGCAGACGATCTGGCCCTTCTATCCCAAACGCAACAACAGATGCAGGAGAAGACAAACAGTGTGGCAGCAGCCTCAG